ACCACACAACACCAAAATTGCCAAGGAGAATTCACCACATAATGCTGAAAGTGTTCAAGGACAAACACTCCACATAACACCGAAAGTGCCCAAGAACAAGCACCAGAAAATTCATCACACAATGCTGGAGACAAGCACCAAAGAAAAAGAACTCACCACACAACATTGAAAGTGTTCAAGAAAAATTCACCACACACCGCCGAAAGTGCCTGAAAACACGCACCAGAGAATTCACCACATAATACTAAAAGTGCCCAAGGACATGCCCAGAGAATTCACTACACAATGTCAAAAGTGCACAAGGACAAGCACTAGAGAATTCACCACACAACGCTGAATGTGCCCAAGAACAAGCACCAGAGAGTTCATACACAATGCCAAATATGCCCAAGGACAATATCAGAAGGTTTACAATGCCAAGGACAAACACCAAAGATTCATATGCTGAAAAAATGCCTGAGGACAAACACTAGAAGATCCACAATGCCAAATAGAGAATTCACCTTATATTGCCGGGAGAGCACAGAGACACACTATATAACATCAAAAGTTTCTAGAATAAACACACTGAAAAAGCTCAAAAAAACACTAAAGAAAGCACTGAAAATACCTGAGAATTCCAGAAAACATATTAAAAAAAAGGTTAACTCCGTAGAAATGCTGAAGAAACATCCTAAGAGAAAAGTGAAACATTAATAAAGCAGAAGAAAAAAATAAAAAGACAAGAAAGAGCTAGAGAAAGTCATCGCGAAAAAAAAAATCAAAAACAATGATTATCAAAAATGATCATTATGCCAAAAAAGAACTTACCTATCCGGGCAGAATAAGATCGTTCGATCTTACATCGGCAGTCTAATCAACCATATGAATCTTAGTTATGTGATTTTCATGTTTTTTGATTGGCAAAAGAGGCCAGAGATATATAAGTTATATACCTCTAGCCAGAGATGCCTAGAAAAACCCTATTTATATTCAATAGATTTATTTATTTCAATTAATTTTAATTGATTTGATATTATAAATAGCAATTACTATAATTTTTCTATTTATCTTATATAATACACTTAAGTTATTATTCTAAAATATTTCAAAATTTTGCAAATTAATTTAAATTATTCTAAATTAATTTGATCTTTTTTTAATTTAAATTTATAAAATATTATTATATGTTTTTAATACTATTAACACTTATTTATATTCGATAGATTTATGTATTAATAATTATCAATGTTC